CGACTAATCGATAATGAGAATCGTTGTCGATTATTTTCATTATCGATAATAATCGATTTGATCGATTAGTTGTTGCAGCCCTACTTGGGAGTCAGTAAGATTTATTTTTTTAATTCATACTTTTGTTCAGTTTAATCAGTTTGCATTAAACTGATCAAAAGTGACAGTAAAGACATGATGTTACAAAAAAAATTCATTTTTTTAACTTTCCATTCATCAAACAATGCTAAAAATTTTTATAATATTTCCACAAATATATTGTTGTTATAAATATTGTACTGTTATAAATTCTAAGCCTTTTTTCAGCATTGATAAGAATTGTTTCTTGAGCACCAACTCAGAATATTCGATGGATTTCTGAATTCTAAAAATTAAGCTTTGCCATCACAGGAATACATTACACTTTAAAATGTAATATTACAAATAGAAAAGTTATTGTAATACATTATTCCTTTTTTTTACTGTATTACTGACCAAATAAATGCAGACTTGGTGAGCACAAGAGATTCTTTCAAAAATATACAAAAAAAATCTTACTGACCCCTAACATTTTTGGTTAACATGATCCAATAGCTCATTTTATGTAGAAATCTAAAAGATAAAAAAGTTATTTCAGAGGAAGAGGGAAGGTATTAGTTTTTTGTTTTATTGGTATAACATGCACTGATGAGTTGTTCACAATAAGACCAGGAGCAGGAATTCAAGTAATTAAGTAAATAGAGTGCATTTTGATTTCATGCTGACTTTATGAGCAAGGTACATTTCCAAAGTGGTTTGGATACATAAAACAATAGGGTTGATTTAGGGTGACATCAGTTTTGTTTTTGGTTATTGATTCTCACCTAGGAACCAAAGTGCCAGCATGGCACAATATACAGAGATTATTATAATGCATACATGGCTAATTATTGTGTGTACAGCTCAGTGCTGTTGCGTTACAGTCACTTCCTGATCCTGTCCACTGTCAAGTCAAAATATAGTGTTACTTAATTATAATAAACTGCAGAACTGCTGTAAAAATGCCTGTGAAACTTCTAGTAGCCAGAAATATTCATTACCTTTCAAAGAAAGTCTCTTATGCTCACCAAGATAGCATTTATTTAATCAGTGAAAACAATAATATTGTGAAATATTGTTAAACTAACCGTTTTCTATTTTGATATATTTTAAAATGTAGTTTATTTATGTGATGGAAAGTTGAATTTCAAGCAGCCATTACTCCAGTCTTCAGTGTCATATCATCCTTCAGAAATCATTCTGATATGCTAAATAAAGCAGTTTTGCTCCTTTATGTGGAAACTGTAGTACGTTTTTGTCAGGATTCTTTGATTAATCAAGTTCAAAATCAAACAACATAACAACATTTATTTCAAATAGAAATATTTTATTATAGATTACATAAAATAAATTAATATCTTTACTGTCACTTTTGATCAACTTAACGCATCCTTGCTGAATAAAATAAATTTCTCTCTCTCTCTCAAAAAATAAAATAAAATAGAATAATATTACTGACCTCAAACTTTCACATTAAATTTACAATATACTGTATGTTTTGCAGTGTATATAGGCATGCACAATCACACACCCACTCAACATTTACTGTGTTGTATTCCTGTTTCAGCTGTTTGTGTGTGTGTGTCTGTGTGTGTGTGTGTGTGTGTAGTTTTCTCCTCTGTGCAGTGGCAATAAGAGGTTCCTGTCCTCCACTGGAGCTGACGGCACCATCTGTTTCTGGCAGTGGGATGCACGCACGCTCAAATTCGGGTGCGTTTCCTTCATTCTTGTACTCATCTGTGGGGTTATAAGTTTTGCAATCTTTTCTTTGCTATTCAGAGCAAGTATTTAAAGCTCTTTTTGTTTAGTTGAATTCATGCAAAAGAGAAACATGGAATTGTAGCATGCCATTAATGTGAAATATAGCCTATGTTTCAGTGTTTTAATCTTTCATTTATTATTTTTGCAATTCCATTTTAGTGCAGAAATGACACCTTTCACCTTTAAATAAGGTCACTAAGAGAATATATTCTGGCACTCATCATGTTTCTGTGTGCTTTATATGTGTGTGCAGGCAGCGACCCAGCAAATTCATTGAGCGGCCCAGACCAGGCGTGCAGATGATCTGTTCCTCTTTTAGTGCAGGTAGGCCAGAAGTGTCAAAGCTCTTTTCTCACCTCTACCTGCTCCCGTTTTATCAGTTATACTTTATCATTCACAGCCTGTAGGGATGTAACGATTCACTCAACTCACGATTCGATTCGATTCACGATTCTGTCTGTCACAGCAACCCATGTGACAAATGCTTTTGTTACAACACTGAGCTTGTAGTAAAACATGATGTTTTCAGAAATGGGACGGAAAACATTTTTGAGTTTAGAGAAACTGATCAGTGGTATCTGCCAGTTTGCATAACTGCTTTACCATATGACATATGATACAGTTGTGATCTTATATATCGTATGTGATAGCAAATGAAATAAATCTTGTGAGAACATTTATATTTATTAGGGCTGTCAACGTAATGCACAGTCCTGTGTAAATGGCCCCTAAATCTTTCTTGGACAGATTGACAAAATTTATTAAATGGATCGCTGTGGACTGTAGGCCAGTGATAGAATTAAAGTCAATAGTATGGAACTAAAAGAAACAATATTGACTCTAATTCACTTTGTCAATGCTTTTGTTTGCCATTATTACCCTAAGTTTTTAAGGCTTCTCTAGGCAAATATTTATATATGTGATTAATTGCAGTTAATTTGATTAATTCATCTGCAAATTTGTAATTCGACTACAAATTGTCTGACAGCCGTGATATTTAAGACTTATGCCCATGATTATATGAATTCATGTGCTCCCATAGAAACGTGATATTAAGTGATTATTTATTCCCATGTTTTCATTGTTCTGAAAGCTGATAGCAGATTATAGAGTGACAGCGGATCGTTTTGGCTTAAACATTTTTCTGCAAGTGAAGCTATAAATATCCTGTTGTCAGACAGATATCACAGACTTTTTAAAAAGAGAGTGTTCAGCACTGCAGGAGCTCTTCAAATACACATTGCTGAAGAAAGGAAACACTCAGCTGGCTTTTACCCAGATAGACACATACACACTTACACAAAGATAGAAACAGATTCTGGGTCCCTCCTCTGCATGTCTTTGGTAATACATGTTCTGAATTCATTTGAGCAATTTGAGTTTCTTGTTTATAAAAGCAATATTCTGATTATTGCTGATACTTGCGGGATTGTGCCTGCATGAAAACTGACAAAACGTTTGTTAATGATGGATTTTTTTTCTGGTTTTTATGCTCATGAATGCTGTGTTATTGATGATGATGATGTCATTTTTGTAATGTTAAACAATATTTGATGATATTTCAGGTGGGATGTTCCTCGCGACAGGCAGCACTGATCACATCATTAGGGTTTATTACTTTGGAGATGAACAACCAGAGAAGATATCTGAGCTGGAGTCTCACACTGTATGTAATGCTTTTTGTGTGTTGTTTGCATTTTGTTTGTGCATGTGTTTGTTATATTATATTAATATTATAGTGTGGAACTGAACATAAAATGCAATTTAGATTTTTCTAACACCCTGTCTAATATCTCTGTTAACAGAATGGTAAAACACTCTTCTATGAAATATAAACAAAATACCAAACAGTACTAAACTATTACACTATTTTGTAAGTTAGTAATACTATATACTAGTAATTCTACATATATAATAATAGTATAAAATAAATAGCATATATACTATCATATTTTATAAGTCTAATAGTTACATTATAGATGATAGTTTTATCATGTTCAGTACTATGTATTACAATTCAATGTATGTGTGTGTAATAGGGATGGGAAGATTCCCCGATTCGCTCAGTGCATCAGCATAAAAAGTTTAAAAAGTGTGTATCGGCTACAAGTCGGCATATGTTTCGCGATGCATCGTTTCTAACATATTTGCATCGGTAAAAACCGATTTATTTATTTATAATTACTAGTGGATGCGCTATACTTTTATTATTTAGAAAGTGACCAATAATCTGTGATCTATGTATTTGTTTGTCAAGCGCGTTCTCTCATCATCACCACTGCTGCGTGAATATGACAAATCACAACACCACGGAGACCCGAGAAAAAACTGTGATTAAAGTCCAAAACCTGACTCGAAATAACATAACAAATCAATCGGGGCTAAAGCGGTTCCATAAATGACAAATTAAGTTTACACAATCTCACTAATTTGTGCATGCTTATTCTTAAGCAGACCTTAATGTCGATCATGGATCAAATCGATACACCATGGCAAACAGCGAATATATTCATGCTGTTTAATGCATTTGAGACGTTGTGTTTTCCTCAGTGCATAACTGACATGTCACAGGTAAATTTTCATCTGTAAATGTTAGAAAGTCATGCAAATATATCCATTTTGCTGTCAGGAGTGGGCGAGGCCGTATTGCATCGAATCGCATTGTGTTGAATCGAATCGAATCGAAATCGGATCACACTGCATCGTAATAGGGGTGAATCGTATCGCATCGCATCGGTAGCTGCTTCATATGAATCTTTAATGTATCGTATCATTGGCTATGCATCGAGATGCGTATCGTATCGGCCTCCGTCATGAGATGCACATCCCTAGTGTGTAATATACTGCTGTCAAAATAACATGTTCATTTCTTCAATTATTATTTTTAAAGGGATAGTTTGCCCAAAATGAAAATTCTGTCATTAATTTCTCATCCTCATGTCGTTCCAAATCCGAAAAACCTTTGTTCATCTTCAGAACATAAAATAATATAATTTTGATGAAATCTGAGAGCTTTCTGACCCTGCATAGACAGCAACGCAACTACCATGTTAAAGGCCCAGAAAGGTAGTAAGGACATCATTAAAATAGTCCATGTGACATCAGTGGTTCAACCGTAATGTTATGAAGCTACGAGAATACTTTTTGTGCACAAAGAAAACAAAAATAACAACTTTATTCAACAAAGTATTTAAATGTAAATGTAACATTTATTTAGTAAACACAAATTTAGTCATCATAAATAAAAAAAAATGCATTTAACAGAGGCATTGGTATCAGTGTTAGTTTTGGTATCTGTGCTTCTTGTCTTCATTCACAGTACTTAGTAAAAAGGTGGTAGAAATAAAAAAAATATATAAAATATACCTTCTTTATGTTGTTTCTACATTAATTTGGTGATTAAGTGTGAAAATATATGATTACAAATTTTTAAATACTGTGTTTAATTACAGAAAAATGTGTGGTTAATTAATTAAAACATATAAACTATCATCTTTGATTGATTGAAAGCACTAACATATATATAACAACTTCAACCTAAACAAATTCTCAGAATTTTTAAAATTGTGTGTATATTGATGTATTGTTTAAAGCACCTCATTTTTATTCTCTTTATTGGATTCACTGTTGCAGGAATTCATTATTATTTTGAGGTTCCCCTCATGTTTTTTAATGACTTCATCTTTTTCCTCAGGACAAAGTCGACAGCATCCAGTTCTCCCATGGTGGCGATCGGTGAGCAACACTGGCTCCATTTATCTGTGTACATGTGCGATTGTGAGAGAGAGAGTGTGTGTGTGTGTGTGTGTGTTTATATGTCAGGTTTGTTGGATTAATGGAACCTGGGGGTTCTTATAATTATTACAAGCTGATGTTGTCAGCAGAAAAAAACACCCTTGTTCCCAACACACACAAACATGCGTTTCAGATACACATCGTACAAGAATTCAAGTGCATGAAATGTCTTTCTACCTAAACAACAGGCATGTGACACAACAGCTCTTTATTCAGTCTCTGCAAGCTCCTTTATGTTCCTCACTCACTCTACTTTAATGAGCAAATGTTTTTGCATTGGGGGAGGGGGGAAATAGCGAGTGTGACAGAGGAGAAGAGGGAGAAAAGGAGGAGTAAGAGAGAGAAGGAGAGTAATAAGATGGAGATGTCTGTAACAGGTCCCTATGGAATTAAAAAGATGGATGTTCACATGAACAGATTCTTTGCACCGAAGGAGACAGCATCCAGTGTTACATATATAAGAAGGGAAGAAACCTCACCAATCAATAGAACTGCAGTGTACTGTCAAAAAGAAGAAAACCATGTCACAAATGAGTAGATTGCACACAGTCTTATTTAACAGAGTAATACACTCCGACTCATTTATAGATCCAAGCTACCTCATGGAGTAATACACATCTATGTTGTTGCACACTTATCAGCTCATTAAAAATTACATCGAGTCACAACCTAATGCAATTTTTCTTTTTTATATAGTAAAATTGTATGACACTGCTTCAAAAATAATTTTCTTTAATCATTGTTTGTGCCTTTTTTCAACACAAATATCTAAACATCCCTAGATAAATTTACTTGAGAAGAAAAATTGTGGGACTAAAATATGATAAGATTAAGATTAAAATATGTTGTAACACAATTTTGTGAGGATAATGCGGTTAAAAACAGGGTAAAATTTTTTTTTAACTTAATATGTATTATTAATGTAATATGTAATAATATTACTTCTCATTGTTTTAAAGATATTTAGATATTGTTACTGGAAAACAATACATTACTATTTGAGAAAATATTTTTTTCACACATCAGTAAACATCACTGTATTATGGAGCGGTGCACATATGCATACACAAAATTTATGTAAATGTTAACACATTAATACTACGTCTTCTCAATAATACCGCTTTTACTCAAATGCGAAGCGAGTGTTTATGGAGGTCCTAAAGGCATAGTAACAAAAACTAACCATATAATTTTAAGGGTCAGAAAGAGGGAAAATTTAATGTTTTTTGTTTTTTTAAAATAGAAATTGTACTATATGAGCACATAAGATACCTTATAGAGTAATACATAGTCAACAATACAAGAGCCATATTCAGTACACTTAAAACAAAAAACCTTCATCATCCAGATAACTTAATTTAACTTTGAGTTTTCAGAGGTTCAAGTAATTTTCCTTCTGTAAGTAATTTCTAAATGGTTGAAGTAGAATTAATTTATCATTGTTGTACCACATTTTGTTAAACATTTTAAGACAGCAATGAAGTTTTCAAATTTAGTGGATTAAAATTTGATCAGTGTGCCTCATTCATTCCTTTTTCTTGAAGCCTCAGATTATGTATTTGTATAGATTACATTTTTGAGCATAAACCTATGCTTGTGTAGGTTTGTGAGTGGCAGTAGAGACGGCACAGCACGGATATGGCAGCTGCAGCAGCAGGACTGGCGAAGCATTCTCCTGGACATGGCCACTAAGCTACCTGGGTAAGATAAATGTTAATCACTGTTCATAGGTATGGCTTGATTAATTGTGCATTAATGTTACATTTTGTTTGCTAAACAATTGATCGTTAGCAACATAATTACTTTGGAGCCCCAAGAGGGCCATTGATTCTGACCGCACAGGAGCGACTGAGATGAAACCTGTAAAGTAGTGCTGGGCGGTATGACCAAAAATTTATATCACCATATTTTTCATAATTATACCGGTTTCACGGTACATGACTGTATTTTTTTTTCATTTATGACTGGGTGTTAACCATATTTTCTATTGATTGAGAGAGGAAATACTGCAGTACTTAGAATGCCCTATTTTACTGTCATGATGAGTGAATATTGTCAAAAAATACCACACTAAATAGTGACTAAACACGACCCCTTTTAATACGTTAACCAGAAGTCAGTCTCATTTATAATCGCGGCATCGTCTGATAAAATCAACACGCATCTACACTAAAAAGCGGATATGTGGTTGTTTTGGCTATATTACTTTTTTGTCTCATGCAGTCGCTAGGTTTGCAGTATGAATATTCTATGGAAAAAAGCCGCTAAAAGGGTCTGAAAGTTGCTAAATCTAGTGCTAAAGTCGCGCTCGTGTGTGTGTGTGAGACGCGGGAGCTGATGGCAGGGGGCGGTGGATATTTGTGGCGGTCAATGTGGATATTGTGGATGAGTTCTTCTGTGTCATCATGTTCTATTAGTTCTACAGCTTCAGTTTCGGAACTTTCATGCTTAGTAACACATACAGCTGTTCCCTCACCACAGTGCAACAGTGAAAAGGGACTCCTTTCAAACAGTGTCGCGTTCCGAACGTTGTTAAGCGACATACACCGGTATTGCGGTATTTTAAAAATTCATATCATAACAAAAATAAACACCGGTATTCGGTATGAACCGGTATACCACCCAGCACTACTGTAAAGCCACTAACAGAATCACAACAATGGATTCATATTCTGGAATGCCAATTGTCCTCTTAACTTAAAAAAAAAAAAAACTGTACAAAACTATAAGCAAACAAATGCCATCTGGGTTTGATTATTTTTTTCATAAATTAGTCTTCAGTTGCTCTTTTCTCCATCATTTACTGATAAAGGTCCCATCAGTCCGTAGAAACTAGGGATGCACCGAAATGAAAATTCAAGCCATTTTCCCATTTTCCAAGGTATTAAATTTTGTATAATCTTTTCGTTATGTATATTTGTCCGAATAGTGGGGTTCTGTGTAGTTTATTTATGGAATCCCGCAAGATTTGACGTCATCTGTTATGGCACTCACTGACTGACTGCGCTGCTGCGTGATAGCGCGGGGCTTGTTGATCCCGCTCTCGCTGAATTTCTGACCATTATCGCATGCTCCCATCCGCTCCTGCGATTTTTGTGTGCGCTCCCGCAAACATTCTAATATTGTATATTATTTTC